TTGCTTCAAGTCAACAAACTATTAATAGAGGTATAAAGAAAGTCACATATAAGTTATTTATTAAAACCTCTCCAACAATTGGATAAAATTTTCACCATTATAGAAAAATATTCCGGTAAATACACACTCATGACAAGAAAAAGATTTGTAATATTATGCAGTATTTATATTTATTTAATGCATAATAAGAAACAGAAAAGGTATCATTCAAAAACTGTTCAAATAGTTGTAGATAAATAGAAACCAAGGATTTTATACAAGTCCTTGTGTATAAACAAGTATTTGACACTTCACATTGGGTTAGGTTAAATACGTAAAAATAAACAAAACACAAACGCAAACACATTTGTAATGTTGAAAAGAAACAGCAATAGTCAATACATGTGATAGAAGAAGAGAGCAAATCATTTCGGCTAGCCAAGACTCCTCGATATTATATCGATTCGAATGGGCGGGATTTCGATATTATTTCGATGGCAAAATTTTCAAGAGTACCGATATATATCGATATTATTTCGATCTCGATTAGGAATCATCGAATCGACATTTCGGGAGTCCCTGCACTGGTTACAACCACACGTTATAAATTTTTGAAGACTTAAAAAACCCCGCTGCAGTTTTCAAGTTCTTTCAACCCATGTATACACTTTATATTTGAAATGACCTTGAAATAACCTCTGGGTAACATTGTCGGGTAAAAAAAATGCCGGATTCCGATTCAGCGACCTCGAAAACTTTGACATAAAGTTTTTCAAATTTTTCTAAGCAGTTATTCTCCTTTTGACCTTGAAATGACTTTGAACCTGATGTGATAGAGGTCAACCGACCCCTGATTCGAAATCAGCGACCCCAAAAACCTTTCTGTGAAGGTTTTTAGACAGTTTCAAAAAGTTTCACACACTTTGACCTTGAAAAAACTTGGAATGACCTTGAAATAAGCTCTGGGTGACCTTGTCAGGTAAAACAAACGCCGGATTCGGATTCAGCGACCTCGTAAACTTTAACAAAGTTTTTCAAATTTTTCTAAGCAGTTATTCTCCCTTTGATCTTCAAATGACCTTGAACCTGATGTGATAGAGGTCAACCTACCCCTGATTCAAAATCAGCGACCCCAAAAACTCTAGAGTACCCTACTGAGGTCTAGAGATACTCCGTATATCAAATGTTGACCTGTGTTATATCATGCACGTTTGTACATATTTGATTAGCCACTTATTTGAATTTCGTAATTCTGAATTCATAATTGTAATCAGTGGTCCAAGAAAGTTTCTATAAACAAATATTTGAGGATTATGAATATCTTTTTAATTTTTTGTACGCCATATGGAATACATTATTTTGAATTTCATAATTCTGCCTTCAGATTTGTAATCAGACCCAAAAAACCCCACTACACAAAAATTCATGCATTTTAAATACATTTTAATTTTTTGTCCACCATATTAAATCTGTCATTTTGAATTGCGTGATTTATAGTCCAGATTCGTAATCATAGACCCAAAAATCCCCATTACAAAAAAATTCATGCATTTTGAAGACATTCAATTTTCTTGTCGCCATATTGGATCCGCCATTTTGAATTTCATGATTTGGAAAGCAGATTCGTGATCAGCGACCCAAAAAACTCTTCATATGTAAGATTCATAGGAATTGAATGTCTTTCGCATCTCTATAAGCTCTTTAAAGATGCTTTTTACAACCATGAACTATCATGCTTTTACTAACCGTGAATATGCCGACATGTATTTTATTTATGATTTCTGTAATGGAAAAAGAGTATCGGCAACGTTTCTCTGATAAAAGGCAACCTTCTGTAAGATTTTTTGGGAAAATTCATGCATGAACGATGGAATCAGGAGCCCTAACTCCAAGATATCGTAGGTAAGTAATTTTCGGATTTTTTTAACGTAATTCTACTGCGAATGTAAGAAGAGCATCTGCTCATGATGGTTCATGGTTGTAAAAAAATCGAATGAAATGCGAAATCAAGCACAAAGATCACAACTAAGAAAATAAATAAACGTAAGAATTTAAATGATAGCATGCGAAGGTGACAATCATTATTACATTACTATGTGCAAAATGTTAAAAAAAGTTACTCTTCTGAGCCATACATTATTCAGACTAAGGACATTGGAATTTCGCACACTATTTGTTACTTTTGATGAACCTTTCTCAACAACACTCGATATGTCATACAGAAATGATGAATAAAATCACATCTTACAAGTGTTGTTTCACTTATTTGGGGTATACGCACCGTATTTTTATTTACGTCTGCTTATTTATTTTTATTAATTTATTTTTTTCGTATAGTACAATACCCAAAGAGAAAAAACAACAATCGTTATTCTTATATATTATGGATTTAAATTTTTCAGATATATGATAACTTTTATCATATTTTTATTTACATTTCGAATTTAATCAAAATAACAAAAATGCATTTTAGATACTCTATGACCTTTTATGTTAATTTTATCTATAGTGAATAATTCATAACTAGTTATATTTAAAGTTGAAATATAATGGTTTTTTATCTTACAAACACGGATTATAACCAATCCTGTTTTTTTTATATTCGTGCTTTGCGTGATGTTTATATAGAAAGATATACAATTTTTCCTAATTACCGATAATGGGTATAAATAAATTTATAATTTACAACAAATTAACCCATTCTATTCTATAATACGACGGTAAGCCTGCCGAATAAAATAAATTATATCAGTATTATCTTGTCAGGATAAAATTTGAAAAATTATAGTGCAATTGCAACAATTGAGCCTTGTTAAAGCAATTTGAAATATAAAGGGTTTAAGTAAACTGACAATTTATATTGTACATCTCTTAGTTTTAAAAAATGTGGAAGGCAGTGTTGCCACGTCTTTATACTTTTTTTTAATAAATGTGATTTGATAAAAACACTTAATAATTATCAAATAGTTAAATAGCACTGTAATGATTTTTCCTCTACAATAATTATAGTTAATTGTAACTTTATTTAATGGCTGATAAGATAAGATTTTCCATGTTTTTGCAGGTGTTTTAACATTATTATTTGAATGTATGTCTGTTAAATTAGTTTTAATTATTTTAAAGTAGGTACCTATATGTTTCATATCTTAAATTTTGTATAATTCTTTATAAATACATAGTCAGTATCACCGTTATTGACAATAGTGTATTTATTTCTACCACCAACCCACACAATAACCCAACTACAACGTAAAATCTGAAGCCTAACTTGTTTACCATACTACCTGGTGTGAATTAGTATTCACACCACGCTTGCTATATATTTATTTTTTATTTTATATACAGGTTCGGAAAGACCCCATGGTTCATCGGCCGTTACGTGAGTCATAGAAATCCGTGCGATAGAGAAGGATGGCTAAAATGAAGGCGTCTCATAGTCACCTCCCGTTTCGCCCTTCCACAAATAAGATCCACTTCCACTAATTCAGCGACCGGTGGTCATCTTTGTTTTCGTCGTTATACAATTACGACTTCGGTATTCCGATATGTTAATATAATCCGTTAACAGAAGACAGCACAACGCGTAACAAAGAAGACTTTTTACAGTAGCTAGTAGATACCTCTGTTTGTAAATCTAGTGACCTTGTTTCCCCTACTGAGAAGTTATTCAAATGGAGTATAGTGCTCAGCTGCATTTAAAGTTCATTTAGTTGTTATTTAAGTATACTTTTTAAAATGACTTAAAAATCCTAAGAAATAAAGCAAAATTCCCTATTTCCCCAATTCCAAAAAAATCTCACCTTAGAAAAATTGTGCTGCCCTCTGTTAAACGGATTGTATTAACATATCGGAATACGGGAGTTGAAATTGTATATGTAGTGACATCTATTAAAGAAAAGGCAAACGACGAAAACAAAGATGACCACCGGTCGCTGAATTACAAGTGGAGTGGATCTTATTTATGGAAGGGCGAAACGGGCGGTGATTATGAGACGCCTTCATTATAGCCATCCTTCTCTATCGCACGGATTTCTATGACTTACTTTATCGCTCCCACGTAACGGCCGATGAACCATGGAGACTTTCCGAACCTGTATACTTATTTTTAAAGTAAACATGTACTACTGGCAACGTTGTATCGATCGTAAATAAAACTCCTTATTATGTAGATAATAATAAAATGCCTTGTTTTCGCCGTAGTGTAGCCGCAAAACATATAATAGTGTAGCAGCAGAAAAAGACGGAGGAAAATGGGTGGTGTTAGAGATGTCCAAATCAGGTACAAGAAGGTTGGTAAATTTAAATGTATAATATAGCCAAGGTCGTTTAAATTTCGTCTACGCGTATGTGGAACCGAATTCTATTTAGGTTCCAAAAATTTGTTTTCTCTTCTACTCTTAAATTTTATGGAGCAATTATGCCCCAGATTTATTAAATTACGTCCTAGAAATATTACATTACGTTCTAGAAATATTTAATTTCTCTAATAAAATTACAAAACTTACTAGGTCAGGATAGGACTAGCCCAATATCACTTTTTTTAAGATTTTAGAGCTGTAAAATACGTATCTAATTATTTTCTCAATTTGTTATATAAAAATGAAATGTATTATTTTTATTTTTAAAATGTGCTATATGAATGGAGTGAGTAGCTAATACATTTTTTTAAATCAATCAAATGTCCAGTTGTTCATCAACAACGAATTTGTGGATGCAGTGAGCAAAAAGACCTTCCCCGTTATAAATCCAACTAACGGGCAAGTTATAGCTGAAGTAGCTGAAGCTGATAAGGTTTGTACTGCATACTGCATATATTTTTAAGACAGATAAATACATAGATCATATGTATTCTAGGAAGATGTTGATATTGCAGTTGCAGCTGCCAAAGCTGCTTTCGCCAGGGGTTCAGAATGGCGTACAATGGATGCTTCGGAAAGGGGAAAGCTCATCAATAATGTAAGTAAAATTTCATGGTTTCTTTAGTGACAACAAAAAAGCCACAAATTGTTCTTGATTCCTGTCTTAGAATTAGTTCAAATTGTTTTCATTCTTATAGATGTACAGTTAAATAAAAAATACAGTAACAAGGGTTTGTAAAATACAAACCACATCCGTGATATTGAAAATTATGATTTGTTTTCCGTATTAATTCAACAAATACAGTGCCATCTCTTGGTGTTTGTTTTCACCACTAGATTTTAGAGATATCATCGATATTTTCCAAAATATAATGCCCTTTTTAAAGTGAAATCACCCTGTATATGCTTGTGATAGTTTTTAATCCATCCTTCTTGTTACTTTAGCTGGCAGATTTGATGTTAAGAGACATAAGTGACCTAGCGGCCCTAGAAACACTGAATAACGGCAAACCTTTCGAAGACGCTTTGTTTGACGTCCATTGCGCTATAGATGTGTTGAGGTATTATGCTGGTTACTGCGACAAAATCCATGGAAACACTATACCTTCGGGTAAATCCAATTTTAGTGTACAAACCCTTGTTGTAATTGTTTTTTTTTTTTAGATGGAGAATTTTTCACTCTGACCCGCAAAGAACCGATCGGTGTGGTGGGTCAAATAATACCATGGAACTATCCCATCCTCATGCTCGTCTGGAAGTGGGCCCCCGCCTTGGCTGCGGGCTGCACCATCATTCTAAAACCTGCCGAACAGACCCCCCTTACGGCTCTGGTTATGGCTGCTCTTAGCAGAGAAGCTGGTTTCCGTAAGGGTGTTATCAATGTGCTTCCAGGCTACGGACCCACCGCCGGAGCAGCCATTTGCTTGCACAACGACGTGAGGAAGATTGCTTTCACTGGATCTACTGAGGTAAAAATCATCGAAATAGATTTGTGACCAGCTTGTACGCTTAGGTGTTTTTTTTTAATTTGTAGATAGGGCATTTAATATTGGAGTATGCTGCAAAATCCAATTTAAAATCTGTTGGTTTGGAGCTTGGTGGGAAGAGTCCATTGGTTATTTTTGATGATGCTGATGGTAAGATTTTTAATTCTATTATTTTATAACATGATGAGTTTTTTTTTAAATGGTACACTAATTTCTATGTATATGTCAAATTTGACATCCAGGGGTAAAGGATATGTCAACTTGATGATAGTAATTACATTGTTGCCAGATTGCCATTTTTTCAAATAAAATGCAAATCTTTTTTTTTTTTTTTTAATGAAACATCTTAAACTCTACTTATTTTGATAGAATGCTTTCTTACGATTTTAGTAATATAAGATTTGATGGGTCTGTTTTCAATAGTATCAAAATAATGTGCAATTGGAATAATGTGTTGTAAAGAAAACAATGATACCGGTGATATATATTATGTTAATATAAAGTCACAGTTGTCATTGTTTATACAAATTTATATTTATATTTTTTTGGTAATCTTTAGGCATGGTATGTTATACAAAAAGTGTTCAGAATTTACCGTACTATTCAAAAATGGCATAATATAAAGGGTATTCCATTAAAAAAAAAATCAATGATGACTGCATATGTTATTCTTGAGACACCCTGTATACAATTTTCTTATGTCAAAAATCCAAACTAAAAACACTAATCGACTTGTCCGAGCGTTTTTCCACAAAATAATTATCTGAATTTTAAACGAATTTGTTCTTTTCATCATGAATGCACTGTTTAAATTCTTTGTTAATTCCAGGAAAAACTTATACTTCACATAGAAAGTTGCAATATTACTTGCCTTGTTATAAACACCTTTTCGTAAACCGATAAATCAAGCATTAATAGAAATATAATGAAGCGCTTACATATTCAGACATCATTTTGTCGAATTAACGTTGGCGATTTGTTTTTTTCCCGCCTGTTGTCATATCACTTCAGGTGCATTGATTTATGTAGTTTAACTAAACTAGGTCAATGTCATTGACACTAAGATTCACAAACTAAACACAGTGCTTTAAGCTAATAGTGATACTTTTTATTAACAATGATTTAAAATCTATCGGAAGAGTAAATATTTTTATTAATTAATTTTTTATTATGTGCATTTTATGAAGCAGCAAAAATAATTGTTTTAAAACATAAATTAGTTTTACTTATAACACACATGCCTATTGACATTACAATATTAGTTATTATTAGTAAAAATATACAGTTTAAGAAATATTCAAAAATTTTTTTAACATTTGGTATTTTGCCTGTATTAAAATAAAAAAAGGTGTGGTGACTTTAAAATAACACGTAGCAGTTGCACGAAAGCAATTTATTTTTTGCAAAATTATTAACCATTGCAATTTCGTTCTTTGCCACTGTGTTATTATCATACAGTTGGATTAATAAGGCAGCATTGTAAGCGTGCACCTACAACTGAGTTCGGAAACTGCCCAATGGTGAAGTAGACATGATTTTAAGTTCAGTTTAAAAAACAAATTATAACTCGGCTGCTTATTCGATTAAAAAATATATTTTTCAGATTATTCTGGAGAATACAAGAACCCCAAAAAATTGACCCCCATTTAAACACTCTGTATTAAAATAAAGTCATCCTCATAGAGAATCGTTTAAAGGAATTTATTTTTACACGTTTTTAGGTAAAAATGTAAACAAGTTTATTTTTTATCTTGAAAATGATTAATGAATGATTTTTTTTTCCTTTAAAATAACTATTTCATGGTTTAAGGCATTCATTTTTGAGTATATCTCCTTTACTCTTACAAATAGATCCATTATATCTTATACCACTGTATTCGTAATAAATATCTTTATTCTCATAAAATATAAGGTTATGTCTGAGAGTACCAATCCAGCAAAAATGCAAACGCTATTAACTGGACTGGATTAACATTACAGGAGATATGCAATTAAAAAAACGCACTTAAAAAAGGTTTACCATTACAGTTGATGAGGCTGTCGAGATAGCCCACAACGCAATCTTTGCAAATCATGGCCAGAATTGCTGCGCAGGATCTAGGACTTTTGTACAAGCAGGGATCTACGATGAATTTGTGCAGAAAGCCGCAGAGAAAGCCAGCGCGAGGAAAGTTGGGGATCCTTTTGAGTCCGGAATCCAACAAGGACCTCAAGTAAGTTACGTTAAATCAATCAGATTAATAAAAGAGACAAAAAGAATAGATATTTAATTGATAATTGTAATGTTAGATTGATAAGCCTTCATTGGATAAAGTGTTAAGAATGATTGAAGCAGGGAAAAATGAGGGAGCACAGTTGGAGGCTGGCGGAAGTCAAATCGGCGAAGAGGGCTTCTTTGTGCAGCCCACAGTTTTTTCAAATGTCACAGACGACATGACCATTGCAAGGGAGGAGGTAAGCAAAAATATTAGGTTTTAAATCATTCATAACACAATCGGAATATATAACAAGAATCCAGAAATATATTGCTTACACATGTTTGCCTGAACATAACAACGCAGTGCTGCCAATTTTCGGATTTTTCTTCCAGGTCTAGGGATACTTGGGTCACCATTAAAATTATGAATTATATTTTTCAATGCTGCTGCTGTAATAAATAGATAAATATAGCACTGAAAAAGGTATCTTAAAATACAAGATGGCTAAAAATCGATGCCTGTGTTTTCAAGATTAGACGCAAGGGGGGCTAAAACAAATCGAACATGAAGAGCGGAAAATTTCACGATTGACATTCATTGACCTATGGAAAAAGAAAAAACAAAAATGCATAATTTAAACTTTATTTAATTATTGTTTTAAACGTCAAGGACGAGCCTAAACGTAATGTTCTTATATCTAAAACATCTTAAATCTGTTCGGAATTTCATAAAAAAATATTTTTAAGCAAATTTATAAATATAGAACAAAATTTAAACTTTGTGATACAATGACATATCATTATCGAGATATTTAACAATGTTCAGGTTGTCGTTACAAAGTAAGTGTATTTTGTAAAAGTATTTTTAGAGATGGGCACTTTTCCAAAAAGTGTGTTACGGACATGTCGATGAAATGTCTGGACATGTTGGGAAAGGTACTTTTGACCTTGAATCTAATCATGCACCTTTGAGTGACGTCATGTTTTCACAGGTCACTGCTTGGGGGCACACAAAGCAAAATATTACTTTTATTCTAATGAATATGTGTCGATATATTTTACTTATTACCTACCTTTAGCCTTTTTTATAAGCTGGTTTCTAATTTTCCCTGGACAGCCAATACACTTATTTAAATGTTTTTCCATCCTACTGGAATTCTTAAAAATTGTTTTTGAGCAGAAGTTACATTTATAATGATTTTTATTCAATTGAGAAAAATATAACCAAACGGTTGATTTTGGCGACATACTTCATTTATAAACTATTTGTGTATTAAATATTAAATTAAGAATCAACTGATTACTCTTTACTAATCATTAACTTTCAAAAATAATAAAATATGGACATATAAGGTTATATATTTTTAAATTATCGGTTTAAGTTAAACAATTATTAACAAAATACAAGAAAATGGCTAAATATTTTTAATACTTTAATCTTACATGTACCAACCTCAAAAATTTTTTACGGTAATTATGAATGCAACAAATAATTCCACGCTTGCGCATACAACTTTTCAATTTTGAAAAGTAGTGTCCTCAGAACACTTTTCACGACATGTCCGATGGACATGTCCAGCTGACATGTCCGCGGCGCATTTCTAAGTATTTTTATGGGGCGACATTATTTATAACATTTCAAGACTGTGACCGTTTTACTCATCACTAGAAGCTTTAGCTTTGAAGATGTCGAGGCATTTGATTGTATTGACTATATATAAGGTATTATTTGACAAAAGCATATTTATTTCAAAGACAGATGTGCACTGAAATAATTAAGATAAAAAAATTGTGTGAAAAACGATTCATTTTAACTTTGCCAAAGTTGAAAGTGGAGTTCCACAAGGATCCACTTTGGTCCCACTATTACTTTTGTTGTACATAAATGATATTGTTCCAAACTTCCCAGAGGCAAAATTATCGTTATTTGCTGGCGACAACAGTTTACTGATACAGGATGCTAACAAATGATTTGAAGCTAATAATATATTAGAAAGCACTTCTGATTGGTTTTGTGCTAATGCTCAATTGCAATAAAATATAACATCCCAATTACAGTCTACATTGTTCAAAATAATTTGTCATTAAATAGATGCAAATATTCATAATCATTGTTGTACAGATTTTCGGACCCGTCCAGTCTATCTTAAAGTTCGAGACTCTAGATGAAGTGATCGAGAGGGCCAACGACACCCCTTATGGTTTAGCTTCCGGAGTCGTCACCAAGAATATCAACAACGCCTTAGTGTTCTCCCAAGCTGTCGAAGCGGGATCTGTTTGGTAAGATATACTCAACGTTTTATCATTGCTTTAAATGTCTTGTATATTTCAAGGGTTAACTGTTACGATGCTATCACTCCACAAACACCGTTTGGTGGGTACAAGAAGTCAGGATTCGGCAGGGATCTGTAAGTCAATCGTTCTTATCGTACAAACTTCATTTTACACCTTTTCACATTTTGACTCGATACATTATTCAAGAAATTGTAACGATATTTTGTTATGTGCCACCTTTTCACTTCAAATTTAAGGTTACCCACTTTTAGAACAAAAATCTTGGTACCGACAAACCACAAATTATAATTTGCGAAAATAGGCAACCAAGAGATGGTGTGAAACAAGAGGTGTGTGAGGTGGTACAGTAAAAAAGGTCTTATAATTCGGAAATGGTGCGTTGAATCGAAAAAACAATTAATAAAATCTCTCCTACACCACTGGTTCTGATTGTCCGTTCTGACTTGAATGCAAAAGGTGCGAAGTCCGTATGTTGAAAATAAATTTTGGAAACTAGAACTGTGTGACGTCATATAGTAAAAAGGACATATAACTCGGAAATAGTGTGAATCGAAAAAATAATTAATAAAAAAAATTTAAATTTCCCCACGCACCAAGTTGTGATTATCCGTTATGCGTTGAATGGAAAAGGTCCGAACTCCGTCTTCAAAAACAAAAAAGTTAGTCAATAATTGCAACAACAGTAGCGAACCCATTATCTTATCTCTTGTTGCATGATTTGTTGTTTTTTTTAATAAATTTTGTATCAACCACCCCTTGAAGTTGCAACAATTTTATTAAATAAAAAAATGAAGGTATTATTCTTAAGGAAATTTTACGTTTTCAATTTTTTTTAAAATAAATAATTAGGTAAATTCATAGTTTTAATTCTAACTTGATTTATTTTATTTAGTAATTAACACAAATCTCATTTCCAAACAAAAGATAAGTTCCATATAACTCTTCAATTACATGCACTAAATTTATCTGGCAGTTATTATTTGGCCACAAAGCCACCGCTAGAACTGCCTCCTCTTACCGAGTAGAAGAGTTACCACGTTAAATTTTATTGTTGGATGCCGGCTAACAAGACCCTGCATCCATTTTAGGTTGCCATTTTCCAGCATGCAAAGTGCGGTCTGTGGCGATAAGCTGTATTTTCTGTGGTAATAAAATCTATAAAAATGTATTGCTGGTTGCCTATTTGCTGTCGAGCCCTCAAAGAAATTGTTTTTTTTACCACTATTAGTTGTTGTTTAACCCTTTCGCTGCGCAATACGTCTGAACGTAGCTACCACGCCGTGCGAGAAAGTTTATCGCGTGCGAATATATACGTCTGGAGCAGTTAGACCACTTATAGTTTTACATTATGTTGTGTTAAATTACGATTTACGATAAATTTTACGATTTTATTTTGAATAAAAACTGAAAGAAACCTGAACAATCTTGGTATTATTACCAGTACCTCTTTCCATAAAAATATTTGTCACAATCGGTATAAGCTCGCCCGCAAAAATTCGCCTTACCAATTGCAATAATCGAGTCACTGATGCGCATGGTTGCGAATATATACGGTTTGAGCAGCCTGATCCAATTTAACTATTCTTGTGAATTAATCCGTCTGGAGCAGTTTGAGCCCTATAAATTTTTAGCGAATATATACGTCTGGAGCAGTGAAAGGGTTAAGATTACAAATTTATGCAATTTTAAAAGAAATTAATTTTTCGTGCTAATTTGCCTATTGCCATATTTCTTGAATAGTTTATTGGTTCAAAAATTGGTTAATGTAAAGCAAGTCTTACTCATATTTTTTTTCCAGGGGTGAGGATGCTCTCAAGGAATATCTACACATCAAAACAATATCTATTAAAGTACCGACAAAGAACTGAATTAAAGGCTTAAGAAATACATTATCATTATTATATTGGATTATATTTTATATAGGTACAAATTTATCTTGTTATTTTCTTTGTTATCTACATTTTATTTTATAGAATTGTTATAATTATTCGATTAAAAATAATGTAATTAAATGCATACATAAAATATTAAATATTAGTACAACAGCGAGGTTGTTAAATTTATTTGGATCATTAAGAATCAATCATATTTCTACTTCACTTCTGACGTTCTCCTTAAGCCCCCATTGCCTCTTTATGTCCAATCTTGTGCTAAACGGATACTCTAACAAAACACCCCCCAGTGCCATGTTGTTCCTCACATAACTGCTGCAAATACAGATCAGCATGCACGTACATCTCGAGGATATAATATAAGCCTTGCGCCTGTCCTCGAAATCGTTCATATCGAAATCATCGTCTTCAATCGCCATTATAACGACGTTAAACTCCAACCCCTTGACCCGTAACGCCCAACTAACGAGAAAATCGTTCAGCTGTCTCTGACACAGGAAATCTTCGACGTTCGCTACCGCTTTGGGCTGGAAAGTATTCTCAACGAAGCATTCTTCGAGGTGTTTGTTTATGCTGCGGGGTACGGTGTTCTCATTCTGCATGAACGGTATGACGCAGATGTCGTTAGGTTTTATGCCCTTCGTCGAGCATAGGTCTATCACCACGTTAGCTATGGTCTCGTCTATGTTTTCCTCGAACGGTACCCAGTACACAGGAGGGCCCTCTATGTCGTGGCCGACGGAAAGGTTCGGAACGACGATGTCGCCTATGGTAAGGGCGACCTTCTTCAAGGCTGGTTCGTTGTAGAAAACTTTGAAAACGTCAAAGATGCTTTTCGTGGAGCGCATAATTTCGCTTAAGACCAGAGCGGGGGTTCTGAAAATTTCTGGACAGTGTTTTGGGAGGAATAACTGAGCTTGGTTTGCGTCTATCATGAACCACATCTCCCCCCAGTCCTTGTTGTGGTGGTTTTTAATTTGTTGCGGAATGTTCAAGTCCATACCTGCAATTTTGGAGAAAAAAGTTAATGAAACATCCAAACAAAAGCATCTTAATAATTTGTCTTACCCAAAGTGGCATATTCGCAGTTCTCTACGTGACAGTTACCACCATGGTAGTGTTTGTAGACTTCTGAAAGAGTTTCCTTCATGATGGACTGATTGAAACAAATGCTAACAGCTTCGGATTCGTCCATAAATATATGCTTGTATTTCTTGGTGCAACCTTTCAGAAAACCATTGATCGATACAAAATACCGAGCAGTGTCCACATATTTGTCAATGCCCATTACTTGGAGCTTCATTGTGACGTCAGCTCTAGAATAGCAAAAGTTAATTAACAGGAACTGCAAGAATGTGATAGAATCTAACACTTTTTCCAAATTGTGTTTTGTATGTGATTTTACAAATACTGTCTAGAAAATAGAATGACTTTTCATATTTTCTGATTTATAAACAACAAACAGCAAAGAACAATTCAATTTATTAAAATTATAAAGGACGTTTGCGTAAAATGAATTTGACTATCTAATTTGAAAATATGAGCTACTATCGCGCCATCTGTGGGTTTATAATCTAATTTAAAAGTATGAGCTACTATCGCGCCATCTGTGGGTTTATAATAAAATCTAAAAAAGTATTTTTTGCGATTAATTACGATTCCAATGTCTCAAAATATTGTGTCTGATTTTTTTTCGCTAATTAAAATAAATTGATGAAATATATAAAATAAAATAATTTTCTGGAAGAATAAAAGATTTATCTTTAAAAAGATTTTTGGTTTATCCACTAGGTGGCGCATTGTGTCTAGTTTTCAAAATGGAAGTGAAACGGCATCTCGAGGGCTTGATGAAATTTTGTTAGTGAATATTTGAATAATTATCTTTATGTGTTTAAAACATAGTACAATACAAATCAATGCGGTCACAGAACAATGGTTGTAGATAACAATTTTTTTGCACATCCCCAAAGCTATACCTACTACATATACTAACAGGGAGGCGTTTATATCTAAATTGTAAATGTATTTTCTGTTGATCGTGAATTCTTTATGAATATATTTAATTAGTGAAGTCTTCTAATTTACTTGAAACAAAGTAGTACCTACCTATAGGTAGCCATTTTGCATGTAAAGGTGCAAAGAAACGGGAGGAATTTAAAAATTCCGCGGCACTGTTTTGCAGAACATAATCTACTCCTTACTATCCCGATTTGTTTTTACAACATATTTATGAAAAAGTCTATGTCTTCACCGATTTGTATTATACTGTGATCTAAGTTCTAAGACATGGCGGTTTGTTAAACAGAGTGATTTTTGTTGTGTAGTGTCATATAGAAAAGTGACTAAAGGCAGCTAGAGTCGTTTAATGGAGTCGTATTTACAATTTAAGCAGCAAAGTGAATTTGACGTCTTTAAAAATAAAGTTCAATGCAGCAATGAAAATGGTAAGTTAAAAACTTTCATTAAAAATAAATTGTTTAAAACATTCCAACAACTGTTCCATTACAATTCCATTGCAAAATAATATAATCATTTCAAATATTGCAATGTTGTACTTAATTAGGGACCGCCATTTTTTTTGCTATAGAATTTGATTTCAGTCACCACTTCATCTATTTACACGAGAATGTGCGCCCATTTGGAAAAAGCGCTGGTTGTGAATTTACATATGTAAAGAGTAAAGTTTTAAAGGTAAAAATCTGATGTTATATTCATAAGATAAAAAATAATGTCTCAGGCATTACAATTTCCAGTAACCACAGCACAGGGCAACTGCTATTTCATTAAAATGTTTACCTGATGCCCGGCCAGTAACAGACATAGAGGGCTCGATTCTGGTCGTTGAGCCGGCTAGTACGATGCAATTGATCAAGTTTCCTTAAAACCAGCAATGTCTTTCCCGTACCGGCAGCTCCATAAACAACCAGGGGCCCTCCTTCTTCCTTAGAGCATTCGTTACTGTCCATGATATCCAACTGTTGCCGCGTCAGCAAGGCTAGCAGGTCTTCGTTGATCTCGTTCATGAAGACGCCAAAGCTCAGAATAATAAACCTGAAACGTAGACAGACATATGACGGTCATTACGTATTAATTTTCAACAATTTTGTTTTTAATAACTTTGCAAAAAGTTTTGCAAACGGGTACATACTGTTTATTATATTATTATAAGAGTTTGAAATGTGCGCCTCTGTTTGCCTCGCTGCGAAAAAACTCGACGTTATGGGGTTCTTTAACGGAAAGACATAAAAGACTTTTATAGCACTGGTCTTGCAGTTTTTAAAGTAATTAATACTGCTATATTTGTCTAGCAAATGCGTTTGTTGACGTTTATTACGTTTGCAGTTCTTAGAACCTCGCGCAAGATCAATAATGCGCTTTTTTCGCCATTAATTGAAATTCCCAATAGTTGTCGACGTTTCTCTTGTTCGTCCGTGGTAAGTCATGTTGGGTCGTACATCGTGAGCTACGTCTCGTGTGCCTTCTTTTTTCACCATTTATTTTACTGCCTCGTGGCTATTCCACCTCGCATAGCTGCAACGGAATTTTAAAATATACTTAGTATATTATACCGTCTGTAACTTTGAATGGGGGTCATATTTATACTATACAGAGGTTATCTGTGACCTTTAGAAACACGTATCAGTAGTTTACTTTTTCATGCACAATTGGCAATTGGGCTATGCATTGTTGACAACTTTCATATTTAAAGGCAAGGTTATTAAAAAGCAAATTTCCACACCACTCACCTGAGGTAGATACTACTCTTTGGCGCGTTACTTTTTGAGTGGCTGCTCGCCACGAGCTCTAATATCATCTCACAAAAAAACAAAAATTTAATTCGAGAGCTAATAATAAAACAGGTTTTTTGGAATGAAATTTTTATTCATTCATTTCGTCAATTTTAACAATATTTTGAAGCAGTTTTCGAAAAAATTTGTTTGATATACGATCGCGAAGTCCATTTTGAATCCCCTGATAGTATTTTTTTATATTTCGCAACCTAGAATAAAAAATAACTATAAAAATATGCAAGGCAGATGCACGTAAATTTAATCTGTTAGAATATGTTTTTACTTTCTACTATTTCCTTAAAAAAAAAGGGAAATCACCTACACCTCTTTGTTCCCAACATAGCTTTTTTTAATAACGTATCGGACCGGGATTTTAGAGACAATTAAAGAAAGGGTTAAACTTTTATTTTCAGAAAGTTTTACATTGATAGTTCATGTAATAAACGCGCTAGCATAAGTTAAATTTGACGTTAAGAAATGGCTCGCACGCTGAGAAGGAGCGCCGGGCCCGCGCATCGCGTGAACGTTGCCCTCGCGCGCGCGAGATTTTTTACTTGAACGTTTCAAATTCGTTTCAAATGCAATAATTATTATTAAAGAGCAATTTTTCAATTTTTCGAATTCACATCTTAATAAATAAGAAAATGTAATTTAACAAATATGTTTTAAAACTACCTACAACTAGAATGTTATTTGAAACTTTAATTGCGAATTATTAGAATTATATAATTTGATTGATATGAAACTGGGAAACGGTTCGATTATAAAAAAAATACTACGTCCGCAATTTTTCATAATTATATGTGCTTCTTCGTATTATTTTTACAATATCAGGGAATTTCTTAAATTCATTAAATTACAGAAATATTCAGCGCCTAGCGAGTAGCTGACTTCTGGAGTTCTGGCTTTAGCCTGGGATTGGGTCGGCTTGTCGTACCTATCCTCTCTCCATTCGTTCTTCGTAGTCTGTATTAATTAAATATGAATTAATTTTAAAATAATTATGAATATTTTCATAATTATTAAAAAATAATAATTTGAAGCAGAAAATACCGAAATATTATAATAGACACATTCAACAAACTCGTAATTTTTGTAAAATATTGTATTAACGTTCAGTAGTCTGACAACTTAATAATGATAATAATATTACCACGACCACTACCAGATGATTTATATTTTTTCTCCAATATTTTCTTTGTAACATGTTCTTACAAATGACCAACTTTATAGCAAAAATATTAAAAAAAAAACACTTACCTATTAAGTAGACTGGCGAAATGCGTCTCATCTATGGCGTCCCCTCCCAACACGTTCTCCAGAAACCACTGGTTGAACAACTCTTGACTACCTAAGGTGTCTTCGAACACGTGCAGGTTCTTATCTTCCTTCCACCGCTTGATAACCTGGTGCCGCGGGTCTCTGGTGTAGCTGCCCAAGAACGGCCACATGATGTACGTCTGGATGGTTTTGTTCTTGGGCTCGTCGCCTAGGAAGCCCTGAAGGACCTCCATGTGGTCGCGCAGCTGGTGCTGAGCCGATCTCTTGTTGTTCTTTATCACTTTGGCGTCGGAGGTTTTCTCCAGGTCTTCCTTTTTGGTGCCGGAGTCCTTGTTGGACTTCACTTCTACGAGGACGACGAAAAATTGACCTGGAAGACAGAAAGTGGTGGGAAATTAAGAGTGCGGGACGGTACTCTAACTTTAAATGAAGTTGTTTATTGAGATTGAAGGTAGCAGGGAAATTATTTTTAATTCTCTACTCCTACTTAAGTATTTTACACAGGTGTCTTGTAAACATAAAGTTTTTAAACGACCTTATATACAAAAATTTATTCGGGTGTTGATGTTGGAGGAGGTGAAAACTGAGATCTGACACGACCTATCCAAGAATTTTAATGTGTGGTCGTTTAAATATAGTTTGCTCATGCACACTAAAATGGGAAGAAGCTTTAAGCAAAAACTAAAACCGAGCTCTGGCATCTTCAAAATTAGTGGTAGTACTTCTTCTAGAAATCCAGACCACACATCAACATTCAGAGAATTGCTGTCATTGCTGATTAACTTCGACTAAGGCATGTGGATTTTCTTCTGTTGATATGTAGTTATTATGATAATTATCTAATCTCGCGAAAACTTTGTTTCGTCTGTTCTAAATCTAAATGTGTATCAAAAACTTTGTTGGATTTTGTTAAATCTTTAAAAAGAATCTTTTTCCTCCCTTCAACAATTCACATATTGGCGCTTATTATTTTCTTACACCAGGGTCTACAGTAATATTTTTCTTTAATTAAAATTTGTACTGAAGTTTTTTTTTACTTTAATATTCATTCAGTACCTATTGTCATTTCGTCTATCAAGGAGCAAGATATCTTAGGAGACCTGAGAAGGTCTAAAGACTCCATCACAATGGGTGTGGATGGTATTCCAAGTTTTATCCTAAAAGACTGTGCGTACTCATTTGTTCAACCTTTGTGTGTATTATTTAACTGTATACTAAAAAATTATACTTTCCTGTCTCTTTTGAAAAAGGCATATGCGTGTCCAATATTTAAAAAGGGAAATCCTAAAGAAATTGCGAATTATAGAGCAATTTCTTTGCTGTGTAATTTTTCTAAAATTTTTGAATCCACTCTGTTTAATGAAATTTATTATCTCACTAAGCAACTGATATCCATTCATCACCATGGATTTATGCAGAGAAGATGTACCATTTCAAATCTCGCTGTCTTTTCTCAATTTATTTCTGAAACTTTGGCAAGTGAAGGGCAAGTTGACGTAATATTTACAGATTTCCAAAAAGCCTTCGATCATATAAATCATTACATCTTACTTGCAAAGTTACAATGATTTTAATTTTTCAGATTCGTTCATCAGGCTTTTACAATTGTATTTAGCAAACAGACAATCTATGGTCAGGTTTCAAAATTTTACTTCAAACATTTTCTCCATCTTCAGGGGTGCCCCAAATCTTTAATTTGGGACCGCTTTTGTTCTTACTTTTTATTAATGATCTTTCGGATATCTTTTTATGTAAAAAAATTGATGTTCGCAGATGGTGTTAAATTATTCTCTGTAATAAATTCCCTTACAAACTGCGTCCGTCTAGAATTCTGTATGAATCGTATGTCGTCAACTGCAAATGTAAGGTATTGTCCTTCACTCGTAAAACTAATTTTGTTGTCTACAACTATACATTGATAGATACATCCTTAGCCGTGTTGAACTGTTTAAGGATCGAGGCATAACTTTTGACAGTAGACTCATTTTCATCGATCATCGTTTCTTAACCACAACCAAACTTTTTCACTCATTTTGCAAATTTATATACTGAGTGTTTCAAAAATGACACAGACGGACTAGGATTTTTTTCTCATTTCATTACCTACCTAAATTTTTAAATAGATATTTCTACACACGGTGTCAAATGTTTTTTTGCAACTTATGTACAGGATGTTTCATAAAACTGACACAGATGGACCAGATTTTCTCTGATTCATTTTATTAATTTTTTCATGAAATCTTTTGAAGAATAGTTGTATATTTACCGACCAGCCGCTTTTTATAAAATCCATATATGTACTGGGTGATCTACAAAATTGACCCACATCCGAAACGGGCAATTTTTTTACCTCTTCACTTTTAACTTTGTTTTTATACTAAAATCTTTTAATGAAAAATTGTATATTTAATAACCGGATGTCTTTTTGAATCTTTATATTGAATGTTCCACAATACTGATGCAGATTAAAATTACGAGTAGAAGGAAACTTTCCTTATTGTTTTTTCCATTTTCATATTTTGTACTGAAATCTGGAATATTTTTATGAAAAATCTTATACCCTACCAATCAGGTGTTTTCTGCAACTTATGTACAGGATGTTTCATAAAACTGACACAGATGGACCAGATTTTCTCTGATTCATTTTATTAATTTTTTCATTAAATCTTTTGAAGAATAGTTGTATATTTACCGACCAGCCGCTTTTTATAAAATCCATATATGTACTGGGTGATCTACAAAATTGACCCACATCCGAAACGGGCAATTTTTTTACCTCTTCACTTTTAACTTTGTTTTTATACTAAAATCTTTTAATGAAAAATTGTATACTTATTAACCAGTTGTCTTTTTGAATTTTTATACTGAGTATTTATGACCAATAGAACGAAACATTCCTTAATGTTTTTTCCTTTTCTATATTTTGTACTGAAGTCTGGAATATTTTTATGAAAAATCTTATACCCTACCAATCAGGTGTTTTCTGCAACTTATGTACAGGATGTTTCATAAAACTGACACAGATGGACCAGATTTTCTCTGATTCATTTTATTAATTTTTTCATTAAATCTTTTGAAGAAAAGTCGCTTTTTTAAAATCCATATACTAGATCTTCTAAAGAATTAAGGACAGTTTTGTTTCTTCTCACTTTTAGCTTTGTCTTTATTTACTACAGTCTTTTAATGAAAATTTGTATATTTAATAAGCAGATGTTTTAACTTATTATTTCACCATTTCTGCCTTACCTACGTAGTCTTTGGACGAAAATTTTTATATTTACTAACCAGATGCCCTTTTTGGAAATTTGGAAGAAACTTTTCTTATTCTTTTCTCCAGCGGGGCCTACTCTTTTTTGAAAAACATTCTCATCAAACTTTTATATACATGGTGTGTAAAAAACCAAAGTAGAGAGTGTTTCAAAAAATGTTATATCTACTAACCAGCGAAGAGAGCACCGCGGAGCGGTGTTCGGGCCGTGCGCAACGCGGCCCGAGGGCCGAAGGCTCGAGAGAAAGGTCAAACTTCGCGTCAGCGAAGTTTGCCTACCTTTCTAGTTATTATTAATGTATTAATTATGTACTGACACCTACCTATGTGGGCTAGCTGCTGACGTATGGTATGACGTCTGCTTTCATTAATTATTTTGGGGGAGAAATTATTAAAAACAAATTCTGATTTCTCTATATATCTTCTACTATGACATATTTCATAGTGCTTTTGGCATTATATGCTAAACGAGCCCATTACCCTTGTAAAAGTTTAATTAAATTTAAGTTATTTACCTTTAAAATCGTCGGTAGTGACGTCAATTGACGATGACGCGTCACCCGTGAGGCTTTACGTCACAGGTGCTACTGCCGCAGTCCACCTACCGGCGCCGACGCTGTCCCGCGTTAATAAACCTATCGCTCATTTGCATCTCGCGGTGGAAGCCGCATATCTGCCCATTTTTATGCAACGGCGTGCTTAATTTATTCCGCGCAGGCCGTTAATGCGCCGGACCTGTTGATTTACAGCATTAAATGTCTCCGCGGAAAATGAAATTAATTATTTTATTAATAGCCCGTTCTTATCTTTGCCAGCGCTATGAATGGCATTGTGGGCTGTCCTCTCCTTTTTTTTTGCTATAGGCTTTATTTATTGCCCCGCGATTTTTTACTGTTCGGTTTACGCCATGCAGGGGCTTGTGCGCTACTACGCCTTCCGACGGCATGAGAGGGACGGGTTTGTGTTATTTATTGTTCGTTTTATGGATGATACTTGTGTACAGGTGGATTCACTCTATTTTGACCTACCCCATGAACTTTTTTGTTTTTAGAGTGATAAAAAAAATACAAAATTTGCACGATTTTTTTATGAAGCTTTCAAAAATGATAGTAGAAAAATAAATGGTGTCTAAACAAAATGGCCGCGGATGTTAACTTTGTTAATTTAAATAGAACACCCTGTATATGTTTACATACTTGGATTGAACGTTCCCTGTCGAGCATAGTCATATAGGGTTTGTTGGGTCCATCTCTAACGATAAACCACCAAACAGCCCCGATTTAACACCCTCAGATACTCAGTTACATTTTTGTGGGTATTTTTGAAGGACAAAGTTAATAATAATTTTAATAAGAGCATTCAAATGATTAGAAATAAAATTAGAGAAACTATCGAGCAATGGCCACCACGCTCCCCTGACTTAACCCCCACTAGATTTTTTTGTGGGGCTATCTACAAAGCAAAATTATCTATCTGAATAGACCAGACACTATCGAAGGATTATAAAATTGTATCAGAGAAGAAGTGCGACACATAACACCAAATGTTATTCAAAATGTAATTGATAATTTTGAACACAAAATTGGGCATTGTGCAATGGTTAATGAGGACCACTTAATGTTTTCATTTAATTCTAATAGTAACCAACAAACCTATATGACTACGCTCGACAGGGAACGTTCTATCTAAATATGTAAAGGGTGTTTTGTGTAAATGAACAAAATTAACATACGCGGCCATTTTGTTTGGGCTTCGTTTGTTTTTCTACTATCATTTTCGAAAACTTCATAGAAAATCGTACAACTTTTGTATTTCACATATTTTTATAACTTTTATAACTAAAAACAAAAAAGTTAACTTTTACTGTTGCTAGCGCGTTTATTACATGAACTATCAATGTAAAACTTTCTGCAAATAAAAGTTTAACTCTTTCTTTAATAAATCTTTAAAATCCAGGGCCCATACATCCAATAGTTAATTAACAATTAACGAATTAACGTTATGATTTTTGTTTTTTTTTTAATTACCTATCGTAAAAATAAGCTCTATTTAATGCTAAAAGAGTGAATTTCCGAGCGGCTTTTGTGTGACGTCATATATTTAGGCAACCCGCAACAAATTGTCATAGTTGAAAATGTACAGACCGAATCTGGTCTTGTGTACTCTATACATAGATACTATCAAAATTAACAACTTCAAATGAATTTCTTTTTACAAGGATTTAGAAGTATTTAAAAACAACTAACTATGCCGTCGGAAGGTTGGTAAAATAGATACACTAATATGCTTAAAACTTACAAAAACGATACAAAAGAATATTCTAATATTGCCAGAATATCGCGATATTTAAGGTCATGACAAAGAAGCCATTTTTTTGGTACCTTATGTCCAAAGTATATAAGGTCGAAAATCGATCTAGTAAAAATATTGGTAAATATTTCATAACTATGGGGTTGCCTATTATTTCGCATATGTGACGTCACTACTAAAAGGGTCTATTTCAATTTTTGAAATTTTTATATTTCGATACGTTTCTTTGGATCAATTGAACCTATAACGTTTAGTAATTAAACAATTAGTTGAAAAATAACGAACAAATTTAATTAACAAACCTAGAGCAACAATTTCATGGTCAGTCGAATCGGCCTTTGGCACACATCTTGATCTTCGGACTGTCCACGTTTTTCATAAATTTCATCAACATCTAAGTATCTCTTTTTTCAATATAGACTAGGCGGTATCTGTTTTGATTTGGGTGAAACGTATATCCATAGAGATTTTTGGCTTTTTGGCTTTCAAATATCACTAGAAATGAAAATTTTTCTATGCGCATAAAAAAAACGTGGATTTAACTTTTGGCGGCACAATATGTTAAAAAAATTCGAAAAATATCATGTTTTTCTTCCTTACAACTCTTTACTTCTCTACAACTTCCTTCCTTTTCAAGAGTTCATTTTAGGCGAAAATGGAAGAGGAACAATGTTTGTAATTAAATTTTACAAATTATGACTAGTTACAAATCGAATGAATCGTGATTATTATTGTATAAATCGAAAAAATCGCCAAAAATTGGGTTAAAAAACTATTTTTTAGGGAATTTTTTAGGGGTCTTTAAGTTGGGTATAGGACCTTCATACTTGGCTCAAGAAAAGTTCATGTTATGTAGAATCATCACTCCAAACTTCATCAAAATCGGTTATATAGATTTTGCATAATAATTTTGCAATCCAGATTTTGAAAAAAAATTGCAAATTTTCACAATTTTGCACAGCGAAAACCAAGGCCCTTAGATACTTGAAAATTTAATCACATATAGAAGGGCTCTCAAGCTTTCAAAC